AATGATGATGATGATGAAATTAAATAAAGAAGTTTTCGTCATTCGTGTTGTTCATCATCACTTTCTCTTTATAAAGAAAAAAGAAATTTCCCTTTATAATATTCTTCTTAGAATCTATCATAAAGTCAGCACTTTATTTATTTATTTATTTTTTTTTTTTTTTTTTTGAAAAACCAAAATTCTTCAACTTTGAACAACAACAACAACAAGAAAAAGGACACGTTCTTTGTCCCATAGCGAATACGATATATAACAATTTTTTTCAAAATAAAAAGAACTACTGCGTCATCATCATCATCATCATTATCATTGTTTATTTGTTAGAAGAAAAAGAATAAATTGCTATTTGCCCTTTTTCACAAGTTTAGTGGTAGTACCAAAAAAAAAAAAAAAAATTCTCACACTTTTCCAATGAAGTTTTCATTTCATTTTATTCAGAACTAAACGATTCCATTTATAGATTGGACATGAAGATGTGTTTAAGCGGTTTTTTTTTCATTGAATCGAATCGATTACACATGATGATTTCGGTAAAACAAATTAAAAGATCTAAATTGTTTACTTTCATTCTGTACATTCAATTGCGGTTTTTCAGTCAGTCAGTCAGTCATTTAATCAATGCAAAAAAAAAATTAGAAAATTCAATGCAACATTTAAATCAAAAGATTTATAAACATTTTGGATCATTGAAATTTCTTTCTTCCGCATCTTTTTTTTGTGGCAAAATAAACTGAAAAAAACCAATTTTCTAAAATTAGTGAATACCAAAAAAAAAAATGGCAATGAAAATAAAATTGACAATACAATGTGGAATGAAAAATGAATGGAGAAAAATCATCATCATTATTATTAAAATGCCTGGGTCAATTTTTTTTTATTGTTGTTGGAACAATATAATAATAATAATGATGATCAAACGGAAATTGAATGAAAATATTGAATAATGAAAAATTTCGTCTTTGTCTTTGTCACGTTATCTTGAAAAAAAAATTTCAATAATTTCATTATATTCTCATTTGCTTGCTTGAATTTCCATCTTCATTTTTTTTTGCTTGGTTTGATGTTTTTTTTCTTTTCATTATTTTTTTTGTCAAACATTCATGATCCATTTTTTTCTACGTAAAACATCAAAAAAAAAATCTTGAAACATCAAAATGCTGAAATGATTAATCATCATTATTTTTGGAATGATAAATTAATTTATTCTAAACACGATATAAATAATGAATAAATGAATGGAGAAAAAAAAAGAAATGACTTTTCCTACTAAACGAGCATTTTAATGATAAAGATGATGATGAAATAATACATGAATCAAGAATTAGATAAAATTCATCAGGAGACATTTAACATAATCATCATGTCTTATAATAATGTATATTTAATGTTCACAAAAACAATTCATTTGGTAACAATTCATAATGTGTTGTTTAATCACAAAATTCTCTATACATTTTTTATATTTGAATTTACAACTACAATTATAACATCAATAAATATATATGTTTCAGGTGACAAATAACGTTATTATCAGTTATAATTGATGCTAATTTATAATCAAACAACAACAAAACAAACTACAACGATTTTAGCATCTTGAATTTGAAAAAAACATCAACATTAAATATTAAATGGTTTGCCCAAAGATTTAGCCGGTCATCATATATGGGAGATCATGATGTTTGTTTGTTTGTTTATTTTTGGACTCAAAAGGAAAAGTTTATTTTTTTTTTTTTTTTTAAAATAAAATTGTCACTTATGATCGTTTGTTGTCATTGTATTTTCTTATTCTCCAATGTGCATACAATACAGATGTAAAATAGGAAATTTGAAAATTTTTTTCTCTTTCAATTTTTAAACAAAGTTTACATTTAATTTGCTTACGGGCATTAACTTTTTTTCTATTTTATTATATTGGTGATTTTTTTTCCACACACACACACACACACACACACACACACGGCAAAAGTTCGGTTTTTTTCGGATCCCTGTCGATGTCAATCTGTTCAATTAGAAATGACAATGATTTTTTTTTCTACCCCTTGATTATTGTCATCAATTTTTTGTCAATCTGTAAATATATAAAAAGTCGACCTCCTAGAAACTGTGTGTTGATCATCACAGATAGACAATGAAATTTGTATTCACATTCAGAGGATAATTTCCTTTCAAACTTCATGATAAACATCAATTTTACTCAATTATTATTGTGCAAAATTTTCGCTTGGCAACCAGAACTTTTTCTATTTTTTTTCAATCATCCGAATGGATTAAGAGATTTTTTTTTCTCCTAATGAAATTGAAGAAACATTTTTCTGGATCGATCGATCACCAAAATGGTAGCTTCACTGTCATTATTTTTTTTTGCATGTTGAAAATGCTGATGATTTTCAAAAGATGGTGCTATTCTTGTAAATACGATTTATATATATTGAAATTATGAATTTAAAAATTTTATATATCGAGATATTTTAGAGCTAGTGTCTGGATGAAATTTCTCAACAAAAATTCATCATTCAATTGTAGTTTGTCATTGAATAAAAATCCAAAAACAACAACATAGACAAAAAAAAACTAAACATGGAAAATTGCCAAAAAATGTCAATAACATGTATGGCTGTAAATTACTAGTTACAATTAGCATTTTTTTCGATACAATAAAAAAAAGTCATTTGTCAATAATCGAAACTTTTCCGATTATTGACAATTTTTTTTACATTACTTAATCAGTATTCATAAATAGATTCCATTCATTGAGCATATATTTATGCTTTGCTGGTTTTTTCTTGTCCTTTAATTAGATAACGATAAGCCGGAGGCAAATGTGGTCGTTCAATTATTAGTGGATTTGCCCGTAAATTTTATAATTCCCAGTGCCCGAATTTTATTAAAGGGTCTGTTTTAATTTAATTCAATCGAACAATGATAAATGTTAATTTGAATATAACATGATTATTCTTCTCTCTCTCTATATATGTGTGTGAAAGGAATATTTAATTATTAATGTTTTCAACCAGAAGCGACATCTTTGAGACCGATTCTATACTGTTTATTAAAAATCAGTTTCCGTTTCGAATTGAAAATTTGTTTCATTTTCTTTTGAATTTTTTTTTAAATTGGATTTCATCGTAGAATATGGGTGAGAAAAAAAATCACGCACTAAATGGCTAAGAGAAAAGTTTTTTTTCACTTGTTTATAAAACACATCTAGGTTTATGAATTATGAAGATGATGATCATTGCCCTATTACTGATTAGGCTTAACATGATAGTATCATGTTTATACTTTTAGTGGCGGTTTGACATTTGAAAATGAAGAAAGACGAAAGAATGAAAAAAAATGCCGTTTGGCATCCATTATAACGTATGTATAAATGTAATAATATCATCATCATCATCATCATCATTCAAGAATAAACGAAAAGTAAAAAATAGAATTACGAAAAAAAACATGGAAATATTTGGAGCATTCTGGGCGACAAAAAATTACACCAACTAAACTTTAACAGAATGTATATATAGTATAGTATTAATAAATATTCTAGCAAAGAAAAAAAAACGAGGCTGAAAAACAAAAACAAAAAAAAAACTGACGACGAAGCGTGACGACATGTGAAAAAAAACTTGTCTTTTACAAATATGATCTTGGTTCAGCGTTATAAAAAAAACAGACATTGAATTGTAATAGTGGTGGTGGTGACATCGTATGGTTGTTGATGATTGTGTGATCATCATGGTGGTGGTTGTAAACGTTGTCGGCGTGGCATCGTTGCTGATGATAATAATAATGATGATGATGATGATGACGATTGATGATTATAGTGGTAGAGAATCAATTGTACTTTATATTTTCATTTCATCTCTCATTATTACACATTATATACAGAATTATTATCATCATTAAAGAATCATAATTATTATCATCAAAATTCTTTATTCTTGGAAAATTATTATCGCTGATGATGATGATGATGATACAAGTTTTCAGTAGATGGAAAGCAAACAAAAAAAAAATCTCGAGGTTATTGCTGCTAGTTTTTATGTACAATTCTCTTATGCCAATGAATAGAATTAGTTAGAGTTCAGCAAGAGAAAAAAAACAAAATCAACGATAGTAAAGTAGCATCAAATTCTTTCTTTCTAAAACAAATTTCTTCATTTCTAGAACAGAAATCTTTTCAATGAAATTCCAATTTAATTCTGCTAGCTTATGGAAAATTCATTTATGATTTTCAAAGAGAATTTTTTTTTCTCAAGATATCGGCTCCAAAACGAAAAACGTTCTTCAACAAGTTATACGACCGACACACACAAACACATACACACAACACACGTTTTTTTTTCATTGCATATCATCATTCACAATTTTTTTCTTTATTCATTCTAATTGATTCATCATGATTTTTTTTCAATCAATAGAATGATATAATCGATTACATCGATCCATATGTGATATATGTGTGTGATTTTATTTCTGTTCCAGATTTACTTTGTTGTTTTGAAAGCATATTTATTCTGTTTTGTGTGTGTGTGTATGTGATAAGAAAAAAAATCTTGATATCTAGTGTAACGAACATGAAAATAATGTTTGTTGAAAACAAAATGAATGACTACAAGAAAAAATAAAATTTATAGTGTCTATTAAATTTTCAAATTACTATCGACAAAAATGTACATCAAATTAATTGGAAAACAACGACGACAACAACAACGGCAACATTCTTCAACATTCGAATCATTATCACCATCATAATAATCTTTTACAAACAACAACAATACAGCAACAAGAGGAAGAAAAATCAATCAATCTATCATGTTTGTGATCATTGATTATGATAGGCAATATCCAGTAATCATCGATACAATGTTTGTGATGTATCATTATCATCACCAGCATCATCATCATAATCATCATCATGATTATGTTATTTACGATAAAACAAAAACAATATTGGATCAAAAACTTTCAACAAAATTCCAATAATAATAATAATAATAATAATAATCTTCCTTGTAATCAAACAATCAAGATTGAAGAATAGAAACGGAAATCGGAATTCGTAATTCAATTTTATTAGCAGCGACGGTGATTACAGTGATTCGAACAAGCAAGCAAAATACAAATTACAAATAAGAAACCGAAATAATATAGCTTGGCAAGAATATTTGGTTCAATTTCTTACAACAACAAAAAAAATACAGAAATTGAATTCTAATGACAGTCAGCTATCAATACGATGTTGCTTCCTCATCAACCGGAGGCTTTTTTCGGCTTCTATGGCGTTGGCGAGGTAGCATTTGGAAATTATTATACAAAGAATTATTATTGTTTGTGGCCGTCTATATGTGCATTGCATTCACATATGATTTTTTGATGACTGATTATTATAAAAAGTATGTCATTCATTCATTCATTCATTCATTTATTAATTACATTATCAGCATCAACAAACAAACAAACATCAATCAATCAATCATCAATTCTATATATGTTGCTTATTAGTAAAAATTTTCTCACTTGCACAGATTTTATCTTGCAAAAGAAAAAACAAATGTTCAACACATGGACATTGTATCATACAGAGCGGAATGATTGGTCAGAAAAATCATTCGAAAAACACAATTCTTAAAAGAATGAATTATAATGATGAATCAGGGAATTTTTCACCATTGAAATCTTGCTTAGCTTTGCTTTAATACAATAAATTATTATTACTATTTCAAAGTGAAGAAAAATTTTCTTGTCGCTTGTTTCATTGAGTTGATTCTCATCGCCACCAAAACAGACACCAAAAACTCCTACACAACCAATACATTAACAATAATTGTTGCTTTATTTTTTTCCCGTTTGTTTGTTTGTTTGTTTGTTGGACAAAAAAAAATTATATATCACACACACACACACAGCGATAGAAAGCAACTATTCCCAAGTATAATGAATCACAAACAAGAAAGTTAGGGCTAAATTTACACATCACACAAACTACATGATCATCATCATCATCATCATCATTGTTATTAATTATAACAACAAAATTAACATGAAAAAAAAGATAAATTCCCGGCCAGAATATTCAAAGATGATGAAATTTTGCCGAGAATATTCTGGTGGTTCATGATTTATTTCCATTATGTGAAATGAAAACATTTTTGAAACAAAACAAAAAAAAAATCACTAAAATTTTGGTCCATTTTGATTTCAAGAATTTTAGAATTTCTTTTTTTTTTTTTTTTCATAATGACGATAATTATAATAATGATAATCATAATAATAATTAGCATAGAATTGTGTAGTGTATGCAATTTTTTTTTTTTTTCATTCCTAAGGAAATAATTTGCTACTAGTGCATGTGTGTGTGTGTGTGTTTTTCGTGTAATGAATAAGAAAAAAAAACGAATCACTTACCATGAATTTGATATTTATATTTATAAAATGCAAAATCGAATGAATGTCGATTCGAATGATAATGATGTCGTCTTCATCGTCGTTGTCGTCGTCAAGATGTATTCATGTTTTATTCATTGTCGATCTACTCAAAAACATCATCATCATTTATTTTTTGTAGCCAATTTCGGAATTCTTGCTTCGAATTAAATTATATTGAATGACTGACTTTTTTCTGCTTGTTTTCAATGTCGAAACAAATGTGTTTTTTTTTATATTGATGATCATGTTTGATAATGTTTGTATTAATCAAATTAAACACATCACTTCACTTTTTCAATTTAGAGATTTATTGTCTCAATCATTTGTTTGGTTTTTATTTTTCATTTTTGTGGAAGGAATTTTTTCCGGCAGTATAATCGAATGTTTGTTTTGTTCGAATTGAGCAATCAACAAGTTTTTTTTCTTGGAATTTTTTTTTTTTTGAGACATAAATCTTTCTGAAAAGTTTTTTTTTCTATTATTTTCCTAAAATGGACCTATGAAAAATAAATAAACAAACAAACAAACAGAATTTTACATTAGAATTTAGAAATATTTGAAAAAAAAATTATTCAAATTAGCACACACATTAGTAGTTTGGATTCCATCCAAAAAAAAAAATGAGTCAATTTTCATTGTGTATTTTTTTTATACGTCATATGTGCGTGTGTGTGTGTCGTCGAATAATTCTCAAGAATCGTTCGAATTGAAATTTTATTTACAATTTTTTCTTTTATAATCATTATGATGATGATCATTGAACTTATGTTTGATATGTAATTTTCAACTAATTGTTTAGATACTATGAACATATCGTGATATTTTGTTCAGCATTCGTCGAAGTAATTCCATTATCATTCATATTGGGCTTTTACGTATCATTCACTGCTACACGTTGGTGGCAACAATATACAGCTATTCCATGGCCAGATAAGTAATGTTATTATCATTAATTATAATTTTCAAATAAATCAATGGCCATTTTTTTATTGATATAATTTAGATTGATGAACATCATAGCCCTTTATATTCCTGGCAATGATGTTACATCACGTGTTCTTCGTCGTACATTGATGCGTTATCTAAATCTAACATTAGTGCTTGTATTACGTTCGATTAGTATTCCAGTGAAAAGACGTTTTCCAACTAAAGAACATCTTGTTGAAGCTGGTTTTATGTCTCGTCCTGAATTAGAAATCTATCAATCTGTACCATCACATGAATTTAATACATTCTGGATACCATGCACATGGTTCGTTAATCTATTACGTGAAGCTAAATCCGAATGTCGTATAACCGATTCGGGCGGAATCAAATTAATTATGGAGGTATGTAATTAATTTTTCATCATCATTTTACAAATTTATTTATTCATGTTGTTTTCTTTTTCTTTGAAAAAACAGGAATTCAATGAATTTCGTAGCAAATGTGGTCTATTATGGAGCTATGATTGGGTCAGCATTCCATTAGTTTATACCCAGGTAACAAGAAGTTGTTATTTTTAGAATGATAAATTTACAATCACAATTTGTTTGTTTTTGAAACAATAGGTAGTTACATTATCAACGCAAGCATTTTTTTTGGCATCATTATTAGGCCGTCAACATATAAATCCTGCTAAACAACATGTTTACGGTGAATATTACATTCCAATATTTACGATGCTTCAATTCATTCTCTATATGGGATTACTCAAAGTGAGCTCTTGTCATTTAATGAATTGATCAGATTTATTAATAAAATTTTTCACCAATAAAATAGCTTGGTGAACAATTGATAAATCCATTCGGTGATGATGATGAAGATTTTGAATTGAATTGGATCATTGATCGACATTTAAAAGTATCGTTTTTGGGTGTTGATGTTCTTAATTCAGATCCACCACCGTTAATCAAAGATAATTACTTTGATGAAATGGACATTAAACTGCCATATACTGAAGCCGCTGTCGCGCATAAAGTAAAAACCTATCGTGGTTCTGTAGCTGCCTTTCAGTAAGCTCAATATTTGTTTTACAAATAATGCATTAACGTTTTTTTTCTATAGTGTTCCTACGGAGAAACATGGTTTGGTCATTCCGGAATTCGAAGATGAAAATGGTGCCGATAGTGATGATGAACCATCAACAATACAAAGTAATCGTGATGCTGTAGCACGAAATAATTCCTGGTCATTGTTTAGTAGTCAAAGAAAACGTAAACTAAGTTCAAGTTTTGATTCATTCAATTCCGAATTGATGGTCGAAACTGGTCTGAGTGAAAGCGAAATGCCTGAACTTGTTCCAACAAATTCATCATGGCCAACATTCCTACAAACTGAACAGCAGCAGCAACTACGGCAGCAAGCAGTGATTGGTGATAATAAACAACCAGCAACAAGTTCTGTAGCATCGCTTTCATCCAAACTTAGTGTCTGGCCAATGAATAGACAAGAACAACGAAAGGCCAATGAAGACACTCAAGGTATCAGGTGGTAAGAATTTGACCACTGGTGCTATAATTATTTATCACCAAACAAACAAAAAACCTTTATTCTTTCTATTTCTCTCCATCTTTACACAAAAACCATTCCATTATTATCACATTTCATTTCTGGAATCATCAAAATTCGAAGACTAACACAAATTTTGAATAATGCATGTTTGATTGACCTTAACAATTTCATTACTAATTATCGGTATCCCTATTCTCAATATGTATGATATATAATTAGGAGTGATAATGGCCCAAAGAATGAAGCATCCACAATCAACAATGATGATAATAAGAATCAGCAACCAACATCAGAGCAACAACAGTCTATTGATGATAGACAACCAATCCTATATAAACAATCAAGTTTTTCCACATCAGATTCATCCATTGCTATTACGATGGGTGAAACAACCTATCAATGGCCTAATCAGACTGCTGCGGCAAGGATTTTTCGTCCTCATAAATCCCCTTTGCAAGTGTATTCAAAAGAAATGGCCAATGCACCGGTATGTGATATATTAAACTTTAAAATTATTCAATTTGTTTTCTCATTTTACAATTTGTTACCCAAATAGATAAGTGTTTTCAATCAGATTTTAGAATCAAATTTACGACGACAATCGAAAAATTCATCATTAAGTTCATTAGGTTCAACGAAAACAGCCGAACAAACAGTTCGAACATTTAAACCATATAAATCATTGATAAAACCATCCCGACAAGCTGATCCTAAATTAAGGATACGGCCATTTCGTTCGAAAGTTACATTTAGTGATGATACTAAAAATGATGATAATACATTACAAATACGTTCCATCGGTGGTAGAGGATTCCAATATCAATATGATTCAAGTTCCGAATCAAATTCAAGTTTAATGAGAGTACAAGAAATCGGTCAACAACAATCATCATCATCACAACATTCAAAAACACGAACGAGAACAAATCCTCGATTACCACTGCCACCGCCATCAGTGGATTCAAATAGAAATTTTTCCCTAAAATCAATACAAGATTTACCATTTAATGAAAATCGTAAACGAAGACAATCAATGGATCCGACAATTTATCAACGTGATAAACCAATAGTAATAGAAGAAACTGGTCAAGATAATTGGTTACATTATCAAAGTCTACCGAATATTCAAGAAGAAGATCAACAGGTTGCTTTATTATCATTACATGATGTTAGTCCAACCATACCGACGGCATCAGATTCATTGGCGATGGGACAATCAATACAACGAACACCATTAGATATTCGATGTCATCATCAACCATCGGCCACATTGCCAGAAAAACCTAAACCATTTTCTCCACCAGAAAAGATACTTCAGCCATCAGAGTTACCGATATCACAGCCACAACCCGAACCAGTCAATCCACCATTATTAACGACTACACAAACTACTTCTCCGGATGTATTATTATCACCATCGTTGATTCCCGAGACGACATCTACCACTACTATGACCACATCGAATCCAGTTAGAAAGAAAAGTTTTAAACGGCAAAAAAGTCAGGAAATTCCTGATGAAGATTTAAAATTACGTTTATCTAGTCCAAAAACAGCAAATAAAATAATGGTAAAACAATCATCATCAGATTCACAAGGTTCAAGTAATTCATCAAGTAATAAAGGAATAATGCCACCTGGAATACTAAAGAAACGAAATGAAACAACACTCAAACAAGCATCAACTGAATCGGATACTGGTAGTTATCATACCGTACGATCTTTAGTGATGCATCCATCATCTTCAATCGATTCATTTACATCTGCTGTCAGCGATCCGATCACTAGTAATGGTAACAGTAGTAGCAATGGTGAAAATGATAATACAACTGTAACGATAATCAATACGGATAAAGAATCAACATTGACCGAAAATCGTTTACTTTCATTTCCGACAATCGAATCAACATTAGTACCAAAAATAATATTTTCACAATCAACACCATCGGTTACATCACAATCATCGGATGATCAGAATAGTCCAAAATGGGATGAACGATATTCCGAATTTTCCAGCATGGAAACTATCGTTCATAGTATGACTGAAGATTCAAATACAACACTTCGATTGCAGAAAAACAACCCACAAACGAATCATTTAAAAGCATTGAAAGATGAGATTACTGCACCGTCTACTAAATTCATTCATAAATCAATGCACGATTCTTCCATAATTGATTCTGCTGCCTCATCAACACATTCTCCAACATCATCTTGTCCATCAAAACAACAACAACAACAACCACTAATAAATATCAGAAAAGGTTCGATCAAAAGGTAGCATTTTGTACGGGTCAAACTTATTATTATGTGTATTACCTCACCATAATATTATGGAAAATTTAACGTGTCAAATTGTTTTAGATATTTTTATTGAAGACCAACAAAACAAAAAACTTGTTCATCTATACATCTCGTGTATTTTGTTATTTTAATTTATTCAAAAATAATTATTAAATTATTAAATTTTAATAAAAATTTTATGGAATTTTGAAATTTGAATTTCGAAAAAAAATCGCGATAGTAATGAGCTTTGATCGATAGTGTTGTTTGAGTCGTTCATCACAACCGAAACATTTGGTTCAATTTAGTTCTTTCGTTCGTTGGCTTATAGCCGAATAGGTCACTCATGCATGCATGTGTTTTGTGTTTTTTAATTTCAAAATTAAATTTGTTTGAAACACCATAGCTGGGAAAAACCACCAGATTTGTTTGTTTATACTTTTTTTTCATTTTAAACCATTAAAACATCAAAATAACAACGACGAATGTCATCATCAACAGCATTCAAAAGTCCTGAAGAGATGGTCGAAAGTCCATACTATGATACAGATTATTCTATCGATATAAATAAAAAAATGACTGTACCAAACAAAATTAAAGCAGTAGAAGGATCCTATAATGAATTGCTTGATGATCCAGCCATTTTAGCCTTTCATGATTCAGAAGATAAAGCTAAAATGATGCAAGTACCAGAATGTATTCGTGTTGCAGGTACACATTTGATTGTTTGTTTATTTGTTTTAAATATTTTTTTTTTGAATAGGAGGCGAAAGTCATATCACAACTTCTCGGGAACCACCATTAGAAATTAAATTGGAAGATAAATTGTTTGGTAAATCAAACCACGATGAATCATTATTACAGCTGACTACACCGCCAAGAACACTTCGTTATGAAGATGCTGCACCAATTTATGCTGAACCTATCAAACAATTGGATAAAGCTTTAAATTCATCATCCATACAATCATCAAAAATGAATAAATCAATGATGGACAATACGATGGTATCTCGAATGAATGATTCTACCATAATGTAAGTGAGGAATATTTTCTTTGTTTGTTAAAATTTAAATTATTCATATACAAATTTATAGTGAATATGATGATGTTGATCCACAATTATCATCACAGAATTTTATTCATCTACGTCGCCGTGTACTTCAACTATCACATCGAATCGATGCACTGGAAATTGATAATCGTCATCGTAATAAACGAGATCTCATCGTTTATGCTATTGGTGCATTATATTTATTGTTTCGTGGTTTAAGTTGGTTTGCATCCAATGGTGGTGGCGGTAGCCGTCGTGGATTTACATTTTAACCAATGACGATAATAATCTATCCAATTTATTGGAATGAATGAATTAGATTTTTAATCGAAATCATCATAAACAGTAATAGTTTTGATGTAAATATATCTATTTTCCAAATATAAATTGTGTTATTATACAAATAAAAATAAAATAAAATGACATCTTTTTTTTGTGTTCGATTCGGGTCGAATGTCAAACCACTGATGACGACAGGCAGCGGCGGGTGAACCATTTCTATTTGCCCGCGTTTTATACGATAAATGTTCAGTATTTTATATTTGGACATGATATCATTCGAATTGCTGGGGATTCACACGAATTATTATTGCCAATATTTATTTTGACAGCTCTATACCGTTAGGCCATTTCGTGTGTGTGTGTGTGTTTGTGTATGTGAGTGCATGCAATTCATATGTGTTTCATAACAAAACACACAATCATTCACCGCTCCCATCACAGAAAAACCCATGGTCAGAAAAAATGGTATACTCCATTTATTGTTGCTGTATTTATTTGAAATATAAACACATTTTCATCAAATTTTTATTCAAATGATGTGTTTATTCGAATCTTCATTTTTTATAATTGTAGCATAATATTGACAACATTGAATCATTCGATCTGATAATGGCTAAAAAATCTGGTTTTGTTACCTGTGGTCCAAATGAAGCATTAATCGTATCGGGATGTTGTCATCGTCGTCCATTGATGATTCCAGGTGGTCGTGTATTTGTTTGGCCTGGTATACAAAAAGTTCAAAGGTTTATTTTTTTATATAAACATAAACATTGGTTTCCTTTTAATCGAAACTTTTCTAAATATAGAATTTCATTGAATACAATGACATTGGTGATTGAAAGTCCTCGTGTTTATACACAACAAGGTGTATCGATTTCCGTTACAGGTATTGCTCAGGTTAAAATTCAAGGACAAAATGCCGATATGTTACGATCAGCGTGTGAACAATTTCTTGGCAAATCCGATGAAGAAATTATGATTGTTGCACGTGAAACACTTGAAGGCCATCAACGTGCTATAATGGCTTCAATGACTGTGGAAGAAATCTATAAGAATCGGAAAAAATTCTCAAAAAAAGTATTTGAAGTAGCATCTACCGATCTAGTCGATATGGGTTTATTAGTGGTATCGTATACGATCAAAGACATCAATGATGATGAAGGATATCTAAAGGCATTAGGTCAGGCACGAACAGCCGAAGTAAAACGTGATGCAAGAATTGGTGAAGCACAAGCACAACGAGATGCAACAATCAAAGAAGCATTAGCTAATGAAGAAAAACAAACAGCAGAATTGGCTAATAAAACGGAAATAGCTAAAGCACAAAGAGATTTTGAATTAAAAAAAGCTAGTTATGATGCAGAAATTTATACGAAAAAAGCAGATGCTGAATTAGCCACAGCATTACAAACGGCCATCATACAGCAAAGAATAATGGAAGAAAAAATGCAGGTAAAAATTATTGAAAAAACACAAGATATTGAAATACAAAAAGAAGAAATTGAACGTAAAAGAAAAGAATTAGAAGCAACAATAATGAAAGCTGCCGATGCTGAACGTTATAGGCTGGAAAAATTAGCTGAAGCAAATAAAGAACGTATAATAAGAGAAACGGAAGCTGAAGCAAAAGCAATCGAATTAAGAGGTGATGCTGAAGCACATGTAATTGATGCTAAAGCAAAAGTTGATGCCGAAATTCTTGCACAAAAAGCTGATGCATATAGAAATTATGAAAATGCTGCCAAAATTGAAATGATTCTCAATACACTGCCAAGGGTATGTGTTAAAATGATGATGATTTATCCGAATTCAGTTCACTGAATTTTTTGTTGTTATTTTTTTTTTGATCTTAGGTTGCCGCTGAAATAGCCGGACCATTAGCTGAATGTAATAGAATTGTTATGGTATCAAATAGTGATGAAATTGGTGCCGGAAAAATAACCTGTGAAGTATTGGAAATTATAACAAAAATACATTCAAGTATTGCTACAATGATACAAACATCATCAACTTCAGCAGCTAGTGCTGCTGCTGCTGTTGTTCAACAATCATCAACAAGTACGGCGACGACTGTAGGTATTGAGAAAATGAAATTCTCTTTTGTTTTTCTTATATTCATTCTAATTCTGATGTAAAATTCATTATCAAGGAACATGGAAGTCAGCAACATTTCCAAAGCCGAGCTGAAACATCCACATCATCAATATCATCAAAGTATAGACCATTATTTTAAAATCTTCTTCATTTTTCTGTCTATGGATTGTTGTTTTACTATTTTATATTATTTATTATGTTTTGAATATGTTCTCTTTTTCCTTTTTATGATGTTTGATTTTTTCGCTCTTTTTCCAAGTTTTTTGTTTGTCTATCTATCTTTCTCAAATACAAAAACCAAAATCAAATTTCCTTTTCTCATTTCGTCTGTGTCATATTTATATATAGATATTATTTTCATCCATTTACAAGCCGACCATCATCACCAGGACTACGATTTCCAACAAGACCACCATAATAATAATCAACGATTTACCCGATCATTAGACTGGAGAATTAACCATTGTAACTAGCCAATCATACATGTATCCATTTATATTATATTTATTTCAACAAACATCAATCAGTAATCATCATTTTTATTTCATTTTTCTAATATTCTGAAATTTTAATACTACAAAATAACAACAACAACAACAACATGAAAACACACAAAACACACTAATTAATTTTTCTGTGCAATCAAAATCATTTTTTTTTTTGCATTTTGATTCCAAAAGTAATTTTCAATTTTGATTGAATTTTGGAATAAAAAAATTTTTTTTTTTTCATTTCTTTCCACGAACATTTTTACTCATATTCTGTGCACCAGACATCATTTCACGGCTAGTATCTTCCAATTGATTCAATTTTTCACCACGTTCCATTATTTCTTTCATATTCTGTTCCATTGTTGTTTTCACTTCATCCACCTGACCGAATAGATTTTGCATACCAGCTGGACGTTGATATGTTGATTTTGGTTGATTGGCATTTGAATTTGATTGATTATTATTATTCCTTATGAAAATTTTCGTAAGAGAAAAAAAAATCAATTGATTTGAAATTGATAATGATGAACAACTTACATTTTTGTTTATTTATTTGGAATGTTTTAGTTGTTTCGAACGAACCAATAAAATGTCCTTTTTTTTAGAAATAGAATGTGACTGGTGATGTTACAATATTCAGAATATATAAGAATTCAATAAGTCAATCTTGTGCTGCGCATGAATAATATCTCATATAGGAATATTCTACCATGGACAATTCTATATGATCAATCAATTTGATAATTTTGTTGTTTATTGTAGTAATGTGTTCAACACATAACAGAGTCAAATTAATTTGTGTTAAACACGTGAAAACAGATATGAAAAAAAAATTTAATAAAAAAAATTGACAGAATTGTATAAAAATTAAGAATTTTTCAAAATTTTCAAAAATAAAATTCTGCAAAATATTTTTATAAAAGAAAATTGCCAGAAATTCGAGTGTCGCTACTATCGATTGTAAAGCACTTGTCAATTCATTTATCATTGTGGCTATGCTACTACCACATGTAGGTGTGTAAACTGACATCAAGATATACTGTGTTGTTGATTGGTTCTATTTTGTGTATTTCCATTTTTTCAATATTATACGCTTTCGAATGGAGCGCTTTTTTTAAGCCAATATTTTACAATACATACACACACACACACACACACGCATACAAAATATTTGAATTCAGCTATCATCAAATCCAAGGATATTTTGTGTTTTCTATTTCATTTTGAAATTTATCATTCGATTTTTTAAATAATCAGAATATATATTAAATATAATCTTCATTCTTGTTATCATAGAATTTTCTTTCCATATTTTGATCACTATATTTCATCTAGAATTAGATTTATCACCTTTTTTTTATCATCATTAATAATAATAGCTATACTGCTAATGGATCATACAAAATTACAGCCAGGCCAAACTCCTGGTAAGTCATATATGTTTGTTGTATTGATGTTTACAATTTCGATTTTATTCTAATTTCAAAGTTTCAGGAACAGTTTCGGCAACACCAACGTCTATTCAAGCAGCGAGGCCACGTTTTAATTTAAATAATTTCATATTAGTTCCTGCTGCTAGTGCAAATATATTGACTAATAATGGACAAATGTCCAATCTGATTGCTACCAATCATAATACGATTGTTAATAAAGGAAAGATCATGATTCTGACAACAGCACCCACTTTAACAGCTGCAGGAAATTCTACTGGAACGGCTAATGGTGCTACTAATGCAGCTCAAATATTAGCGGCTTCACATCCCGGACAATCGGTTCAATTACGTCCGAGTATGGTACTGGCTACAAATGCAAATTCAAGTGCAGCAGCGGCAATCGCAACCCCTGGAACATTGGTTACGCCAAATATATCCACATTTGGCAATACAACAACAGCTACGAGTATAATTGCTAATATTAAAATGAATCCTGTATCCAATCAGCCAATAAGTAATCAAATTCATCAGATCGCTACTGTACCTGCAGCTACAGCTTCAGCGTCAAATGCCATAACAATACCTGCAACAGTAATGACCACTAATCACAGCGGCAGTAACATCAAACAACAACAACCACAAACCGTGCAAATGTTAACGCCGATTGTGACACCAGCTAATTTATCCAATAATAATTCTTTTAATCGTGCCCATCCACATCATCAACATTTGAATTTTGTCTCACAAAATTTAACACATCGACATCAATTACCAGCATCTTCAACTAATAATCATGGTAATTATCCTGTTTGTAATTTAATCATTAATTCAATGAATACATTTATCGACAGGTAAAACAAAAAACAATCCAATTCAACAGGCAACAAATTCAATATCGACCACGCCGGTCATTTTGAATACTAATAATTTATTTGTCACCACACCCACCATGGATGGCCAACAAAATCAACAGACTAAATCAAAGCCGATGGTTAATTTGAATTTAATTCCAAGCAATTTTAATTTTAATCCATCAAAAGTTGCTATTGTTGGTAATCAACCAATGGATGTCGATTGCATACTTGATAATGATAAAGATGACGATGCCGAACTAAAATCGATTGAAGAGAATCAGAATGGAAAAAGGAAAAAAAAGAATCGCCATGATAAATTATTTGCAGATGAAACACTGGATAGATTATCGCCAGAATTATGGCCCGAATCAGGTAAGCCCTTTTTTCATTTAAATTTAATTCGATTTTTAACTCCGGTTTCCATATTTAGTTTCAGGTGTAGTTAAATTTTTGGCCACTACATCACCATATTCAAGTGAAGATGATGAATTATCGAATGATTCACCACAAAAAAATTGTAAAAAATTCGACAAGAATAATTCTAATGGAACTCGGAATCCAACATTAATAAATCTATCGACTATTGTGAAAAATGAAATCCTCGATGACGATGATGATTATGATGACGATGATGATGAAGATGATGATGATTCATCATTTAATAATTTCGGCGATAATCTACGTTGTAATAAACATAACTATAATTATTCAAACGGTAATAATCAATCGGACTCACGTAAGATGGTCAAGTCCTTTGCCATCACTGCTTATGGTTTAGAAACGGCAAATGAAAATGAAGATGGTGATGATGATAGTGATTCTCGTGCTACAAGTCCAACAGAGAGTATTGTGACCAATTCGACAAATAATAAAGCTAATACAAAATCATCAAATAACCAAAACAATAATAATAATAATAGACCAGAATGGCAAAAAGGATTCGATGAAGAAGAACTATCAATGCTTTATGGTTATGGTTCTTTAACAGCATCGGCATTATTGGATAAAGTTAAAGAGATACAAAATCTAGCTTATCAATTAGGATTAGAAGAAGAAAGTGAAATAGCTCGTGCACGTTATCTAAATATTCTAAATGAACATGGCCCAAATGATGATAGTTTGCCAAATCTAACAATCGATTCGGAAATCGATGATATTTTCATGTCAACAACAACAACAACAACATCAACATCATCTACAAATCAAAAACAATCGATAAATTCGATGGCTTCATGAATTTTCTTAATTTTTTTTTTTGATTTAATCATTCTTTTTTGTTTGTTTGTTTGTTTGTTGTTTTGTGTTATATTATTGTCATTGGTTAGCATCAATACACACATACACATTTAAAAAATATATATAGTTACGGATATTGATATTGATATTATTATTCGCATTTATTATTGTCTTATCATGTTTTCTTAATTCATATCTTAATTCATTAATAAATTGATTAAAAAAAAAATTCAAATTTATTTTAATTTAAACAAATATTGCCAATTGATGACTACTACTACCTATTATTTGACATATTTGATTTGTTCAAATCATCATTACTATTGTTATGTTTATGGTTATTATGATGATGATCAGAAACAAGAACAACATCAACGGATTCACCTGATAGTGGACAAAGTTCTTGTAAACGAGATTGTTTTTGTACAACATTAGATAATGATGATCGTTCCAATGATTCTTTTTCTTCATGCAATGATAAACGATAATCATTATTTTGATCGAATGATTGTAAATGCCAACCACCTTGACCATCAAATTGTAATAAATGTGTATGAAATTTCCATAATGATGGACGATGTGTTATTGTAATCAATGTAATGCCCAATTGTTTTGCTGTTTCATACATTTGTGCTTCAACATCTATAGATACGGCCGATGTACATTCATCTAGTAGTGCAAATTTTGGCCTAAATTGTTTTAAATAAAAAAATGATTGAATTGAATTGTATGATTATTATAATAATCAATAATAACAATACCGATGATAGAATAATCGTCCCATTCCCATTCGTTGTTTTTCTCCACCGCTTAATATATCTTTCCAATCGCCTTTAGCATTCCAGCCACCTTCTCTAGTTACAATATATCGAAGATGAACTTGATCAAGTATTGATTCAAGATCTTCATCACGAATTCCTTTATTATTCATTATTTTTATCGTATCCGGATATATTAACTGTTCACGTAATGTTCCCAATGACATGTATGGTCTTTGTGGAATGTAAAACATTTCTCTTGATTGTGGCCGTTCTAAACGGCCACTAAATACTGGCCATAAACCGGCCATTATTCGAAAAAGTGAACTTTTTCCACAACCATTAGGACCAGTGATTAACAGATGCATTTGGGCAGTTATCTATTTCACATTTGGATTTGATGAAAATTCAATATAAACTTTTTATTTTGGATTGAATAAACTTACCTTTATGGTTAAACTAGGAACAACAATATCACAATTTGGAGTAATAATTGGAACATTAATCAATTCTATATAATCATGTACGATAATCACTTCACCACGGATTAATGGCGATCCAGATTTATCATACATAATCATAGCTTTTTCATTTGTCATCGAAATTGATTTATTTGCATGTGAATCACGTTTAAAATGACCACGACCAACTTCTTCAAAAACGGTAAACATTTTGGCCACACGATTTGTATAGCCAACTAATTCGGTTAACTATGAATAGATGAAAAAAAACCCGTAAAATTTATCCCTCATAATAAACAGTTTACCTCTTTATATGATGATAATAAACGTTCCATTGCATCTGAACCGGAGATCAAAATATTCTTGGCTGTCATCATATATTCGGTTCGATTGGAAATATCTTCACTTTGATCATTATGTTGTTTATTACGTTTATTATCGATTGCCTTTATACCGGTAAGCATAATTGGCGTAGCAATCACAACCATACCGGTGGCTGACCAAAGATATTTCATTAAAAGTTGTTCCAACATAACATACCATAATCGTTTATGAAAAATAAGATTCATCTGTCTTGTTAATGAACGATAAGCACGATCCAATACAGTACGTTCAACATGGCCACCACGATAAAATGCAATCTCTTCGGCATTAGAAATAATACGAGAATGAATAAATCGAAGATAACCTTTTCTTTGTGCTTCTTCCGATACAAGTTTTCCGAATTGTGGTGAACAACGCCGTAATATTAGATGTGTACAGAATACAATAGATGTACCCATTATTGGTCCATGCATACCATTGGAACCCATTTGTCGTCCCATACGAAATAATGTTAATAAAACAACAGCCACATCTAACAATGGTTTAGTAACATGTGAATACATATGTGCACAATGTTGAGCAAATACAGTAATATCATCAGTTAATGAATGATCAGCATTCTCTAATCGGCCATCCAGGTTAGAAACAGCATAATAGGTTTCATTATTAAAATATAATCCACATGCATAGCTAACTAAACGTGAACGAAATGCTAATGCCAATTTGGATTCTAAATAACGTATCAATGAATTTAAAAATGTTGCTGGTACCGATATAAGTAGCCATTTGGTCATCGATGCTGTAAATTGTTGTAGATCACGTTTAACAATATGTTTAACTACACGTCCCTCTAGATTTGCAACATAAATGGATAAAAATGTTCTTGAAATCAAAGATGTTGTATGCATAATTAAAATGATCACTTCAAATGATGCAATTTTCGGTATCATAATACGTATCAATTTAATTAATTGTATGACGAAATCAACATTGATACCGGTTAGATGACGAATTTCAATCATTAATTGTACAAAAAGTTTTTCCAATTTATTCATTATTTTACTTGTACGTTGTGGACCAAAATTTAGAAAACGTTCTTGGCTTGATTCGCCCGGTTTTATTGGTGATACCAGCCGTACAAGATGATCATTATGATGATGATGATGATGATGATTATTTGGAAATTTTTTCTTATCAACATCAACATCATCAACATCATCATCATCCGATGAGGATGAAAGAATTTCAATCGATGTAGCCGATGTATCGATCGAAATTGATTGATCAATTTTTCCATTATTATGAATAACTGATTTTGTTGTTGTTTGATGTTTATCATCATCATTATTATTATTATTATTATTGTTGTTGTTGTTGTTGTAGTAGTTTGAATTTGTCAGATAATTTCCAATTAATGGATATGAAATTTTCGCTGCATATAAAATGACCAATGCACCGGATATAGTACGAGTAATGTGTGGATATGGAACACCAATACGATCGGATAAATCACGAAGTTTTGACATTACAGTAGTCATTTTGTCTGTATTATTTTGAATTTTTTTAACCAAAAAAAAAAAAAAAAACAAACAACCAAACAAACAAACAATAATGAAAAAAAAGGTTTCAATTTCACTATTTGATGATGATCAACAACAGCAACAATTTTTCTTTGTAATGTTGTTGTTGTTGTTGTTGTTTTTAGGGTTTATTTATGACGCTTTGATGACAGAACAAGAAACAGAAACAGAAACAGCAAATGAAAAAAGAGAAAACACTTTCATTAAGAAACCCCCTTTTCAACTTGATGATGATCAATGTTATCATATGATTTGATCAATAAACAATAAAATGGCGATGACGACGAGAAACATATCACGAAACCAAAAAAAAAAGAATTAAGAATAAATTATAAACACAAAAATATAAACAACAACAACGACAACAACAACAAATTAAGAATGTGTGTGTGTGAAAGAATGTTCATTCGAAACGAAATTTTTATATTGACAAAAAATTTTTTTTTCTTAGAAAGAGAAAAAATATATAATTAAGATAAACGATAAACGTACACACACACACACAAAGAAACGATTTTCGAGTACAAATTGAAATTGAATAAATTTAAATTAATGATGACCACCACCATCACCAGCAAAATTAATGGCCAATATATATGAATGACGATGATGATGACGAAAAATCGACAAAAAAAATTTTTTTTTTCAATTTTCAATTCATAGTCATTGGATGTTGATGTTTGTTGAGAAATTTTCAACGAAATGATGAAACAAAAAAAAATGGGGAAAAATTTTTAACCAATCTGAAAGCAACACACACACACAGACAAACGAATCTTCATTAAATTTTTCGATTATCTTACAATGTATATATACGTGGTTTATTAGTATTTTTCCGGTATTTTTCTTTTGAAATTTCAAGTTTTTTTTTGTAGAATTTTGTGAAAACATTCATCAACAATAACAACAGAAAATAAAATGACACATACATACAGATTGAATGATAAGATTCACGTACACCAAAAACAAAACAAAAAAAAAAGCCACACACATACATGTAACACATCAGTTTTTAAATTTTTTTTTTTCTCAAATAATAATCATGAATGTATGAATTTAGGATGGATTGTCTGTTTCTTTCTCTCTTTCTCTATTATTCTAACACGAACACGTTCACACTTGTTGTTGGCTTGTGGTATGCCATGATTGACCATTGATCATCATCATCATCATCATTATTATTGTTGTTGATGATGATGATGATGATTTTGAAGACCGAAAAAGAGCCAAAAGGCACAAAAGAAAACTAAATTTAGTCCATGTATATTCGACTGTTTCTCTGTGAATTAAAAAAAAGAAAAAAGAAAGAAAATTCTCTTTATATACGCCAAATAGATGCATATACAAAACTGAAAATGTGCAAGTTTCTCCTTTTGTTGTTGTTGTTGTTGTTGCCATATATACCCGAATATATTATAATGGGCAAACACTTTACTTCACTTTTACGTTCATATTTGGACAATGGATTTTTGTTGCTGTTGTTGTTGTTGTTGTTATTGTTGTCCCGTTTTTTTTTTTTTTTTTTTGAAATTTGTAAGTTTTTCTTTTTCGGTCAACCTTTTCTCTCTTACTTTTGACTATACTTGTTTACAAATAAAAAAGTGGAAACAATTCAAAGATGATGATGACGATGATGATGATGATGATGACGGAGAGAAAATGACAAAAGAGAGCCGACCAACTTGTTTTTTGTTTTGTTTTTTTTTTTTTTTTTTGAAAAACCAAAAAGAAAACGTTTTTTTCTGGTTATCTAAAAAAAATTTTTTTCCCAAAAAATACAATGATCATGATGATTGAGGTAATGGTCCAATGAACGAGCAATAATAATGACCGATATTATATACGATGTTTTGTCATCATACGAAACTTGAAATACGAATAATTTTTGTTTCCAAAATTGTTGTTAGAGTGTGTACTGCAGGTGTAAACAGGTTTGAACATCTTGATATCCATACACACACACACACACACACACACACAGACAATGGTTATGGTTGATTGAATGGAATGATATGATCTGTTTTATTTTTTCATTAAAATTTTAATATATCAAGATAAGACACAATCATCATCATCATCATCATTGTCACAGGTGGTTTATATGATTCGATCGAAAAAAAAACTGGTGATAATCAATTCCAAATCATCTTAATGCAGAAACATGTAATGTCATTAGCCATTGATGAAGATGAAGACAAAGAGGTAGAAAAATATTTCTATTGAAACGAGCAATATTGCTGTAGTTGTATCTGGGATTTTTTTTTTTTATACCACCGCTTCATCATCATTTTCATTCATTAGTGGATAATGAAAAATTCCAATTCTTATTTTTTTATCGATAATCGATTCATGATCATTTTAGTGGTTGCAAATAATGGCAAAAAAAAAAAAGAAATTATCAACTATCAATGATAAATGGAAAAAAAATCCAAAATACCTGTTACCTCGGTAACAATCAAATTGATGAGCAGTGGGAAAAATAATTTTTTTTCTTTATTTTCAAAATAATTTTCAAAACAATGAAAGGGCGTAATAACACGTAATTTACGAAAAAAAAATTCTCTATTTCAATCGATCTCCACGGATTCGAAGAGCAAGACGCATATCTTTTGTCATTATTGTTACACGATTAGCATGATGGGCCAAAAGATTTGTATCTTCAAATAAACCTGTTAGATAACTTTCTGATGCTTCTTGTAATGCCATAATGGCTGATTCTTGCATACGATAATTATGATTAGCATACATTCTCTTTGTTATATTATGTACTAGTCGTTGAAAGGACATTTTCGGTATCAATAATTGTCCAAATTGTTGATATTGACGTATTTCACGTAGAGCAACGGTACCTGGTCGATAACGTTTTTGTTTTAGTATCGATGATGATGCTTTTGATGAAATTGATTGCTTATCATTTTGGTTTTTCACTTTTACATATTTTTTACATGTTTTATTTGACGATTTAATTTTCTTTTTATTTTTTCTCGATTTATTTCGCGATATTTCAACGTTAATAGTGAAATGAATATTTTCAGATTTTTTCGGACTTTGTTTTATTCGAGGCATGATTTCATTTCAAGTTTGATTTGTTGATCGATCGTTTTTTTGGTTTGTTTGTTATGCAGAAACACCCAACACCACTTGTTACACAGCAAAAAAAAAGTAAATGGAAACAGACTGCAATTTTTGATTTGATTTGACAATATATATTTTTTGCTATATAAAATCCATTTAACGTATCCTGTATGCTCATATATGTAAATTGATGATGTCATTGATATAATCGTTCATATAGTCCATAATCAATTTTGTGATAAGATTTACAGTTATCCTTATCCTTATATCATATAATAAGTTTAAACTGGTTATATACATGAAAATAAGATTTTCATTTTTTTCGTATAATATTTCTCCAGGGTATTTAGAGGGTTAGAATATTTTACATTTACATTTATTTATTATGTTTTTTCTGTCTTTTTTTGAATATAATCGTTTGATTTTCTTTAAAAATATACCATAATGGTTCAATAATAATTTTAGATTAGTAACATGAAGTTTTTTTTCAATAATTTCGATTAATAATTCATTTGATTGAAATTGGTTTCTGAAATTGCTCTTTTCTGTCATATGACATACAGACACAAACAAATTGTGTCTATAATAACACCATTGGCATTCATAGGTAATATTAGGCTCATTTATTGTTGATTGAGGTAATCATCAAGATTCTAAATGGAAAACGAAATGGGATGAATAAAAATAAAAATAAAAATTTCAATTTTCGAATTTATTGAACGACTATCACCACTACCACCACCACCATTATCATCATCCAACTATTTTGGAACAAAATATTATGTTTGTTGATGACAATTGATGAAATATTAAATAAATAAATAAGATAATGTGGTGATGTAGAAATGTATTATTGAAAATGACTGACTATTTATCTCCATCATCTCATCACAATCATCATTATCAATGCCATGGTTTTTTTTCTCATTATCATTATCATAGTTCATTTGATGATGATGATGAGAGTTCCGCAATGAAAACATTTAGGCAATTAAATAATTCTAGCGCTAAAAAAGCCATCATCATCATTATCATCATCATCATCATCATGATTATAATGATGGTAGACAATTGTAAAACGTTAAAATCAGTGAGACAGAGAATTTCAAACAAGACATCAACAATGATGGCATTCCTCATCTCTTTTACAGTAATGAACATTGGTTTTTTTCTGTTTGTTTTCATAGTTTCATAATGATCAATTATTTTTATCATGACCATTATCATCATCATTGCGGAAAAAAGCTGCTGAAACGATAATTTCATGGGCGGTGGTGGTGAAGATGTGAAAAAAAAACTTGAAAATTTTAAATTTTTTCCAACTAATGTGGTGGATTAAAAATTTGGTTGTTTTTCAATTTTCAATAATTTTTTTTCTCACCATGATAAATGAATTTTTTGTTTGTTTGTTTGTTTATAGAATGTTTCGTTGGAATAATGGATAATTTCATCGGTCACCATCACCGCTACCCAAGGGATTGTGAGAATCCGAAAAGTTCCGGTATTTGTTGTTGTTGTTGTTTTTTTTTCTAATAAATTAGACCAGAATTTGTTGATTTGATGGGCGTTATAATATGTGGCTTGAACCTAGGAAAAAAAATAATGAATGATTAAGTTGTGCAATGTGTATGTGCGTGTGTTTGTTACACATTTCTTCACCAATTCAATTTGACAGGAATCGGATATCATTTTTGTTGTTGTTGTTGTTATTGTTGCTAATGATTTTCATTATCGTTTCGATTTTCAATTTTCATTGGAATAGATTCGATAAAAACAACAACAACGAACAATTTGAAAATGATAAAAAGAAATACCCATTTTCCCATCTAATCATCCATATACAGAATTTCATAATAAAACGAATAAGATCATCATACAGAATAAATGTTACAAAACGCACACACACATATCATCAATTCACAATGATTGTGCGCCACTTGATTGAGATAGAATGGAGAATGATGGGAAAAACAAACAGAATTTTTTTCACATTCAGCGCGCGCTCATGGAACAACGAATTCTCTATTTTTTTTTCTCTGTTCCATCATCCAATTATATGAAGAATCATTGGATATTTTTCTCTTACACACACACACACACACTGTATATGGTTGTATTATAAAAATATCATCTGATCTCACCTCACCATATTCACACACACACACACATTTTTTCTTTTTGAATCATTGGACTTTGTTCAGACTTTACAACAAAACGTTCCAAAAGAAAAAAAAATATTCTCTAGCGTGATGGATTCATTTGTTTTTGTCGAAATTTTCGTATTTAGGATGTTCTCTCGATGATAACATGAGAAAAAAAATCGCTCTTTGTTCAATTTTGAAACTTTGAAATTCTACACATTCTACGTATTTTCAATTATTCATCAAAGATTCTTTCTTTTTTATCTTGACTTTTTTTGCCTTTCAATTCTATTATCTATACTCACTCTATTTCTAACTCGTCAAAGAAAAAAAAAATCCTGAGAGATTTCATTTTAATGCTGCAAAAACCACACATTATTTGATGATGCTGATATTGGATTTGCTACGCTCAACCTGAACATAGACGCACACACATCCATATATTTGATCAGCGAATAAAGAACCAACATTCGATTTTTCGAAAAGAATCAAGCAACCAAGAAAAGTAAGAAAATCCAAAATTCAACGATCCGATTCATCATTGTTTTTGTTACAAAAAAAATTATCACGGTTTCTTGATTTTGTTTTGTTTTGTGTTTCCCATTATTTATGAATATGAATATCTTTTGTTCTGTTATTTTTTTTTATTTTTTTTTTCCATTTTCAATTCTTGATCTTCAATCTCAAGAATTTTTTTCCCCCATAAAAGACTATGAACTGAAAAGACAAGTAAAGAAACAACTTTTTCATTCTTTATTTAAATTTTTACCTTCAAACATTAATCAATATTCTTTATTTTATTTGCAGTTTTGTTTTTCATTTTTCATTTTCCAATCCATCAATACACACACACATACGCACGCACAAGATTTTTATTCCATAAATTTCAATCATTCAACTTTTAACCGAAATAAAAACAACCACACTAGAAAAATGTCAAGATGGTGGTGGTAAGTAAAAAAATTTTTTTTCTCATATGCAAATTATTCATTTTTTTTTCATAAACACACCATTTTTTCTCTTCTATCCAAAATGAACAAACGAAAACAAACGACCATTTAGCGAATGTGAATGTAAAAATGTTTTCGTTGCTGTTTAATTCTTGGCTTAACAACAACAACAACAACAACAAAAATAATCCCAAAACAACCTGTTTATTTTCTTTTTGTGAATGAATGTCTTTTTCCTCTTGTTTCGCAAAGTTTTCAAAGTTAGAAAGTGAAAAAAAATATTCACAATGGAAAAAATTCCACGATATTCTATATCGTTGTGGAATTTCTTTATTTTTTTCTTTTTTGGTTTTGTCCAGACTCCATAATGGATTTTTCATCATGATGATGATCATCTTCATCTTTGGAATTCAAAATTCCATATTTACCGTGTGTGTGTGTGTGCGTTTTATTCATTGAAAAAATTTGCCATTACCATAATATTCATTTTTTTGGGTTTTTTTTCAATACGAATCTGCCATCAAGAATCAAGAATATGAAATGTGATTTGAATGGAAACCCCGTATTATGATGATGATACGAAAATGAATAATCATTGATGGAATTAGCCCATTTATGGCAGATTTTTTTTTCTAATACTTCAAGTAGATGAACAAAATTCTCTGGTTTAACAATTTTCCAGATAAACACAAGTTTATTGTCTGTCTGTCTGTCTGTGTGTGTGTTTAGATGTTTGCATACTTAGATTTTAACTTTTATTTTTTTTCTACTTTAGTATTCAAATTACTTGATGGTATTTAACCGTTCAATGAATAAGATGATCATATGAAATCGTTTTTTTCCCAGATTCTTGTTGTTGTTGAATGAAAAAAAAAATTTTTTCTTCACAAAAACATCCGGCCATTTATTGCATGCAAAAATTATTTCGTTTCGGTTGCCTTGTTTCGTGATTATTGTGAAAAACGACAAAATTATCATCACATTCGTCCATTTTTTTTTTTTTTTTTTTCGAGCTATTTATGTATGTTTAAATTGATGAGTATCATATATTCAATAATATTGAAAGGTTTGCACCAGAAACTTGATGATTTTGTTGTTGTTGTGTTTATAAACAACAACATCATCATCACTGTAACATATATATATATTGTTTATGGGATTTGGGTTCCATCTTCTCTTGAAATGTTTGGCAGCTGTTCGTTTTTTTTTCTGCTGTTGTCCAACAATTTCAATATGGTTTCCGTTTTTCATTCTTTCACTCTTGATCTTTTCATTGTCCAATATTATTTTCAAACACTATATCGATCAATGAGACCGGAAAATGAAGAAGAAAAAAAAGAAGAAAAAAACTAGAAGATGAAGAGAAAATCATCAACCGATTGCAATCGGATCACACACAATTCATTATCTATCTCTTTTTTTTCTTTCTTTCTAACTATCTTAATCATATGAATTGTCATAAAAGAGAATATTTCACATGTGACACACAAACAAAAAAAAAGAACGAATGTTCCGGATGTTATTTTCTGTTTTGTTATTTATGTTATTATTATTATTATTATTACCCAAATTTGATTCAACCCAAATTCACACACAGACTCTTGACACATTGATCCATACACGTTCCAAAAACGAAAAACGAGAAAAATGGCAATTTCATAAATATTGATATGACATTTATCATAGACAACCACATATAAATATATATATAGATATAGAGATATTGGACATCCACTTACACATATAAAGACAAACGATTTACAATGAATCAACGACACACATATAATAAGCAAAACGAAATGAGAGAGAGAGAGAGACATGGATGTCGAATTGTTTGTAAAAAAAAAAAAAAAAAAATAGTAAAAATGAATTATATACTCGATTCGGATATTATTTTCACCATTATTGGATATGTAATAAATATAATCAAAATATGACCAAATTGTTATTGAACTAAAATGGTACCATCATCATCATCACTCTCTTTATCATCATTAAACAATTATATATTGCTATGAATGACCAAATGGACTTGTGATCAACATTAATCTTTGA